AAGCATACATCGAAAATTTGTTTTAGAGAATCAATGTGAAATAACTGCAGAAGCGATTAACCGATTTGCTGTGCAACCGAGACGTCTGCTTTTTAAATAATTTTTGTAAAACAAATCGGCAAGTACATATCGTTCCCCGCATGCCAGAAATATGAATGCGTAGAAATTAAAATTTTGGGAAATCAAGTTTGAATTTTTTTTACGAGACTTAACTCTGCATTCATGTAATTGACAATGTGAAATATGTGCTTTCCGTGAACGCATGGTATTCTGAGTTTTGGTATAACATAGGACATCCAAAGGTCAAGCAAGTCAACCCAATAACTCAAAATCGATGAATTTACACAATCATGCTTCTGGCATAAGGGCGACGATATGTACGTAGTTACTTCACATTTATTAATTTTTTATACGTCTGTCCTATATGTCTTCGTAGTAAAAAAATAGTAGTTATATTTCGAGACCTGAGTGGAAGATCGACCTACATATGTATTGCGGCAGCCAGTTCGAAAACGCCCTATATCAGAAAACTTTTCAAGAACGTCCTATTTCAGAATATGATTGAGGAACGCCCTATTTCAGAATTCTATTGAAAAACACCCTATCCAAGATATTGTTTTAAGAAGGCCCTATTTCAGATTTCGGTTCAAAAACGCCCTATCTCAAATTAAAATGTATTCAAAATGTGCTGAGATAGGGCGTTTTTGAATCGGCAGCTGAGTTATGGCGATTTTGCACCGAATTCTGAGATAGGGCGTTCTTGAAAAGTTTTCTGAAATAGGGCGTTTTCGAACTGCCTGCCGAGATACGTCGATCTTCCACTCAGGTGCCGATTTCCAGTTAATATTCCTCTATTTGCATGAAAACAAGTCAAAAATGTATGTTTAGTACTCCACTCTACTTAATAAACTACATTCATCGGCGATTCCCATCCCATCCCAATCGCCACGCTTAAACTTTCTCCGATTCACCAGAAATTTTGGATAACACGTTTTTTCACGAATATTTACCAATCTAGGGGCTGCGACATAACAAAATCCGATAAATTAAAATAATATAAGCGTACATATTTAAATTGTTAAAGACCCCTCTAAAACTAAAGATGTCAATTCAAGCTTATTATATCAAAGCTCAGGGGTGATTCTTCATAGCTTTTAGTTGCGATTCTATTTAGAAATCGGCGTGTTTATTTAAAGTAAAGGTTTTCTTTTAAAACATCCACGAATATCCTTAAACAATTAATCAGAATTGCAGGACTTGAAATATTTTTATGAAGCTTAAATAACCACGAAAAAAAGTATTTGCCGTTTAAACATTTGTCTACGTGTTTGGCCAAGCTCTGCTTCAGTTTGCAGTGTGGGTTTTGAGGTTGTGACACAAATAGAGGGACCTAGAACGATTCCGAACGGAAAATTGCCGAGGGACGACTGTTTTGGACAAGGGTACTGTCGTTACAAGTTTCATGTTTTCGACCCACTGAACCACTAGAAAAAGTTTACGTTTTCTTTGTTCAGTAACGTTCGCAATATTTAGGGATGCTCATTTCGAGGAGCAACCTAAACACATGCACGTTTCGATACATCGGAAAAATCAACATCGATGCTTAAATACATAGCCAGAAAACCGTCGTTTGCATCGATGGTTTCCGATTATTTACTATTTGTAAAGCCCTAGTGAAATTAAAAGAAATCTAATCTTCCAATCATCGCAGTCTTATGTAGTTCAGTTAGAGAAATTCATACATATGCATTTAATTAACCTTCATATTCTTCTTCTTCTTATTTGGCGCTGCAACCGCCTTAGCGATTTTGGCCGATCTCAACAAAGCACGCCAGTCGTTTCTCTTCTGTACCAACTGAGTTGATGCATGCACTTTATCAACTCCTCTCCGCCGTCCTTGAATAGCTCAGCTGGCAGGCTGTCAGCTCCAGCAGCTTTGTTGTTTTTCAAGCGCGCAATTGCTACCTCGTTAGCCTGCATATACTCTTCCCATAATTAATTATTAAGACCGCTGGGTCCCAAATTTGCCAGGCCTGATTTCATAGAAATTCTAAAAGTATTTTCTATTACTATGGCAATATATTTGTCGCAGACATGTAGACCCCTATTATGAGTTGCATTCGGTCTTCGACTGTGGTCGAAAGTGCTGATCGAACGAATTTTCATTTGGTATTATTAGACTCATTCCATGAAGAATATCGCTATTGTGAATTTAGCTCGTTTAGGTTGTTCACAACGTTTCAACGCTGAGACGTTTTGGTTACAAATCGCGCAAACTAAATAATGTGCTTACACATATTTATGTAAATTTGTGCAAAATAAAATGGAGTATAAAATAAAGCGAGTTTATAAAAACTTGATAAAAATGAGTACAGCGGAGTTCTGGTACGACGATTCGTCAGAGGATGAGAGCTTAGTAAACTGACCAGGAGTAGGAAACGTTTAAGTGTCGTCTTTCGAATATATTTTGACATACAATATATTTAGGAAATTCGTTTACAGATTTATGAAAACCTTCCGACTGTCTAAGGAGGGGTTTGTGGCCCTTCTGTCCGCTGTGCTGCACCAATACTCTCGAGCCAAATCTATTTAAAATATTTGAAAACTATCAACAGCTCTACGATATTATTCTCACTGATCGTGCCAACAGAGTATTGGGATTTTCTTTCATAAGTGGAACCAGCCTTTCGAGCTTGTTTTAAATATTCACGACGTTCGACCTGCGTGCAATTAGTGAATAAATTTTTAAAAACAAGAAATCAAACGCAAAATCATACGTTTTTCACAATTAAGGTATGTATGTCTTCCATGCCACTGATTGTTCACATATGAGTTATTTTATATAATTTCTCTATGTATGCAGTGAAGGTAAAACTTTTGTTTAGCCCCCAAACAACTAATCTCAAATGCAGTAATAGCCGAAGACAACACTGTTCGTACTTGTTTTTTTTTTTGAACATGGACTATTTGTGGAACGTACTGATTGTAGAACTCAGTTTTTTGGTATACAGAAGTGCCTCCTACATTCCCGGCCTGATATTGAATATATTATTATTAGTCACAGAAAAAGTGAGCAGTAAAAAAATGTAAGACAAATAATTTTACAGGGGATCAACTTAAGAAACAATTTGGAAGTGATGCTATGAAAAGATAAACCCAGAAAAAAATCAGCTAAATATATTTTTCTTAACACATAATTTGGTTATAGTACATTATTTAGTTAAAGTTAACAAATCATGTGTTCAGGAAAATATTTTTAGCTGACTTTTTTCTGGGTGTATGAAGAAGGGTAAAGAAAAGACAAAAGACGTAAATCGATTTGCGACTACACCAAATACGCACATACTCTGATGAACTAATAATTCTAGAATTTGTGTATACACGTTAATCTCACATCCGAATTATTTAAGCCAACTTAACATATAATAAAATGTTTAATAAATCTTAAGAATTACAGATCTGTAGGTAGTATATATAGGTACAAAAAATATTGCGCAAATAAGCATTTAATTCTTAAGATTTGATTTGAGGATAACAATCAATTGAAAGACTTTTAATTGCAATTAAATCAATGATGCAGGGGTAAAAAATGTTTTCCCATTTTAAGAATACAGGCTTATCGACGTTTTCACGATTTGTAATTCGCTCTCTAAGTAATTCGTGAACAACCCTGTTTCCACGAACATTCGTAATCCTTTTGGCAACTTTACTTCTTGTTCTTGTTCCTCGCTATTTATTATTATTTTTGTTTACTGCAAATACTGAAGATGGAGAGGAAATGTAAGTTATCATCAAACATTTTAATTTCTATAGACAATAATTTATTAATTACTATTTCATTAATTACGGCAATAATTCGTCTTCGTTTTTTATTATTTTGTTTTTGCAGTCAAATTTCGATATATTTCCGATAAACATTAGAGAAGACACCGATTCGTTCGTCGTTCGCATGGTAATTCTACAAATGAGGTAATTCGCTGACAAAATTGTGTATGGCGAATTACGTAAGTCCAAGGTAGTTGGATGGCGAATGACGAATAGGAGAGCGAATTACGAATGTGAGGGCGAATTAAGAATCTTGGAAACGTTGTATTAGGTTAAATAATATAAGGTGTAGACAAAATGCAGATACTTTTATGTGCCGTACATGCATATGTACATATACATACATATATGTTTAGTATATACATATGTATGTATGTACATTCATATGTGTGTGCGTATGCACACTTGAACATGTATATATTCAAAGCTTTGTTATTGTTTAGTTTCGAGTGTTCTTAGGTTATTCTCTCTGAGAAACGATAAACGTACTTACATATTTTAATCATTGTTATAAATAGGTATGTAAAATTCGCAAAAACTTTTGTACACTCAAAGTGATTTCATAAAACACTTATTATGATACATAAATAACGCTCGTATCTTTTTACGGAAAAAACAGTATATTATTATTCTTTTATTGTACACCCCGAGACAAAATGATATGTAAAACAAAAGCCATGTAAATCCAAATTTCTCACTTTATACAAAAATTAGAATTCAAAAACGTGGCATATTCTAGTTTAAAGTGTCGACATAATACCGTTGATTTTTGATTTTGTTTTTACAGCGTCACAATTACTTTTGTATGCGTTCGACAATTTCTTTTGTATGCTTTCATACAAAGTTACTATGTTAGACAATTTCTTTTATATGGAAGAAAATAATAACACCGTCTGCAAAAAAAAATAATCAAAAATCAACGAGAATTCTTAGCCTATTGAAACTTGCACCTTAATAAGCTACCAAACTACATACTTGCAATTTTTTTTAATTATTATATAATTAACCAGACTTTAATAAAAAAGTGTTAAACATTAAACAACCGAAAAGAAAATAATCAAAACTGGTCTAGATGTCATGTCCCTATTGTTTTACATAATAGTATATATGTATGCATACATAAGCATTTTTAAAAACGTGTTTCCGCGAAAACTGTGTATTAAAAAATTTAGACAGAAAAAAAGTATAAATGCAGCATTTTGGAAAAAACCGCAGTATCCATTTTTGGAATCCAAAAAAAGTATTATACTTCGAAAGAAAGTATAGATACGAGCGTTATACATAGAATATAAAATTCTATTGAGCTAAATTTTATCAATTAAAATCGAAATGAAAAATTTTTAAAAGGTACATACATAAACGAAGTATGCTCTTAAGTATAATTAGTGTAAGAAATATAAAAGCCCAGTTAAATTGAGAATTATTATGATAGCTGTTTCAAGGCAAATGGAAATCCAACACCTTGCAATATTCATTTGCGAAGTGTTTAGCTTAAATTTTCTCTTTAATTGCAAAAGAAATATCAAAATTTTACAGAAATAAATTGCACAAAATATACTATAATTGTCACAGGTGAAATTAAACACTTTGCTAATGAATATTGCTAGCCTCTTTCAACTTTTCAAGTTGGTTCGTCTTTGTCTATCTTCTAATGCCGGGTTAATCTTTTTGAAAATTACTCGTTTATAATAATTATTTTATAACTATTAAAATCCCGACAATTTAGATTGAGCACAATTTACCTCACTCTCTGCTTAAGAAATATAGATTGCCCAAAGTATCTTATAGGTAAGATTTTCATAATAATGCAAATATTTATCTACTATTTTAATAGAATTTTCAGTTTAAAGTAATCGCAATATAGTAACACAATTGTAAGCTTAATTCTACGAACAAACTATATAGCTCTTATTAAGTAGAATAAGTTCATGATTTGAAATGGGTTAATGTTTGTGTGATATCTGTGTAATTATGTATGTATTTATACCTGTTTAACTATTTGTAATTATATAGTACTTATGTAAGTATGTCAATATAGACAATATGAATATTTGTTTATAAGGATGTTGTGTTACAGGTCAATCATACCGTTAAATGCCCATCTGTATTAGAAATACAGGCTTTTCTTACAACAACGCAATCGCCACAAACATTTCACCATTAAAAAAAAAAATACTTATCTGTATTTTATTTCAACTACAGTCCCGGATTGAAGAACTGGTATACACCACCAGTAGCAGGGGGGCGTGTGAGAGCACGCTTGGCGGCAGTCGCCATATTAGTTTCGTGTTGGAAAGCGTTATCATATGATCGCTTCATAGAATGAGACAACGAAGTGGCCGCTGTCAATGCCGAGCTAGGCAAAATGCCCGCAGCTGCCGCCGGCATGGCTGCACCACACACACCGGCTGCAGTTGCTGCATATTGATAGCCCTGTGGGATATAGCCGATCGGAAACGGTTGAAAGGAAAAGTGGCGTGGCATAAGCACAAATTGAGGCTGGTTGCCAGCGGCACCAGCGGAGGCAACATTTGGTGAGGCAACATTCGTTGCCCCTCCAGAAGATGGATGCTGAAACAGCAATGGGCTCATGAAGTTGGCATACAGCTGTTGTTGTTGTTGTTCGGCGGCCACAGCCGCAGCCTGCTGACGCGCTATTAAACTTTGTTGTGCAATAAATTGTGCCTGTTGCTGAGCAATGAGTGCGGGATTTGCAGCCATACTCATCTGAGGTGGAGGAAGAGAAAAATTGAAAGGAAATGGAGCCATAGCTTGAGATTGTGCGCTAACGGCTGTGGAAGCGCTCGAAGGCATTTGCAAAGTTGAGGCTTGAGGTGTACCTAAACTACCAACAGTAACAGCATTTTGAGCGGCAGCAGCAGCTGCAACGGCGGCGGCAGCATTTGATTGAGCTGCAATGCTCTGAGGCTGCGCGGAATTTGATGGAGCTCCGACCGTGGCCGCTATAAACGGCGATAAGCTACCTGCAGAGGCTGCTATAGCTGCCACAGACTGTGGATTCGTTGGAGGCAGAGCCACATGTTGTTGTTGCGATAGGGCGGCAACTGCTGCTGCCATTGATGGTGACGATTGCATTGCATGCGCATGTGTCATGTGGGCACTGTGCCCTTGGTTATGAGCGTGAGAATGAGTATGGCCCTGATTGTGGGCGTGAGCATGCGCATGAGAACTAATTGCTTGTGCGTTGGACGGCGACGGTTGAGGTAACATACCCGGTGAGAGAAGCGATGTCTGCTTAGCTGCAGCAGGATGATGAGGGTGAGGTGTTGTGGCAATGGGTGACTGCAGGCCACCATTCAACACCATATTCATGTCATCCCCGGAACACTGGAACACTTCGATGTAACGATACTTTTTACCAAACATCATAAATTGGTTATGTTTGCGCAGTGCGCATAGGCGAGCAGACTCTTCTGAGTCCATTTGAATGAAAGCCTCGCCACTGGGCTGTCCCTATGAAATACAAAGGATTTATAATTTGTTAAGCTTAATTAATATGTGAGAGCATCATAATAACCACAAATGTATACTTATAATGAAATATTTACTTGAGCATTAATGACCATGTGCACGCCCTGATATATAATATGTTTTGCAAAATCATCCAAGAAATGAAGAATGTGCTCTACTAGGGCTTCATAAGGTAGGCCTCGCAAACGGATACAGTTTTTGGTGGTACCTGAAGTAATCAAGTGCTGAAAAAATTTTTAAAAATATTCATTGATCAACCAATTTACATGCATTCTCATTGCAACTTTAAAACTAAATGAGTATCTGTCAATTTTATTGAGGCTTATTAATACTTTATTTTAATATTGTTATTGGGCTTTGTACCACGATTGTGTTTATTAGGAAAATAGAAAAGGCAACAAAGTCTAAGCGGTAGAAGTTATAGCAGCTATTTCGGAGATCACCACATCTCTTCATCAGACTTCTTTTTTTAGACTTCAGCAGGGATCGTACCCGCATCATCGATGTGCAAAGTCAGAAGCGCTAACGACTGAACTATGCACACTCCGCGTTTCTGACTTTGCACATCGATGATGCGGGTTCGATCCCTGTTGAAGTCTAGAAAAACAAGTCTGATGACAAGATGTGGTGTTCTCCGAAATAACATCTTCCGCTTAGACTTTGTTGCTTTTTCCACTTTTCCTAATAAACATAATCGTGGTACAAAGCTCAATAATAATATTAAAACTAAATGAATACTTATCTTTAAACCAAAAGCTTATGAAATACTGGTGAGCTCGGCCAGGCTTCGCTGCGGCTCAGTCTGCTATGAAATCAATGGAAAAGTAAATAAAAGCATTCCAGTAAATAGCTTGGATAAGGAAGCACAGCGAATGGGTCTGGCGGTAAACGAGGACAGGACGAAGTATCTCCTGTCATCAAAAAAACAGTCAGCGCATTCCACGTCACCGCTGGCTTTGCCATGCCGTTCGAGTAGACACCGACGCTCCAGCTCTGCCTTCTTCGTGATTTAAATATAATTTTAAATCTTTGTTTGCTATGATTTTCGTTTTTGCGTTATGGGGCTTTTATAAAATTAAAAAAAAAAAATTTAAAAATATGTAGCGGTGCACCGTGGTGGAGGAATGATACAATCCTGCTGAAACCAGGGGAGTTCCTTTCACGTTATCTTTACCTGTTTATGATATATTCTAGTCTCTTGAGTAATGCTGTTCTCGATCTCAGATTGCAGATTCCTCCTCGCTACATATGTATGTATAAAGTTGGGCGTCTCCTAAATTTTTGCAAAAGCCTTATAACGCGATGGACCAGCATTTGAAATTTTAGCGCAAATATTCGCAGCTGTATTGGCAGCCAAGATTAAAAAAGGCATTTTAATTTTGTTTTTGTTTTTCATACTAAACAATTTTTATTGAGCTTGAGGAGCAAATGTGGTGGAATATGGTTATGAGTTTGTATAATTGATTCAGAGGTCTTTTCTTTATATAAATTAAAATTAATCACAATGTTTAATATCGCCAAAAACAAACCTTTTTTAATAAATATTTTTTCCCCCCAAACTTGTTTTCATTTTTTTATTCCAAAACCAAAACTGGAACGAAACCGGAACCGGAACCGAAACAAATTTGAAAGAACGAAACCAAAAACGAAACTGAAACACTTGGCAACACCGAAATCGAAACCGGAACGTTATTTTGAATCGGTTTAATTCCTTGAAAAAAACTAAAGGTTTTGTTTTTCGTTAGATGGTTTTGAAATAAATATGCATTTGTTCCAATATAAACCTATTTTTTTATTCCTTTAGGTTACGCCTTTGGTTAATTTTGGTGTTCATAACTTGAGTCATTTTACTTACAAAACTTTTGCATGACATCCATTTATTATACTACTTAGTATACTACACTGAAAACTATGTTATTTATACCAATTACGAAACAAGAAAAAACTAAATATGGTAGTCAGTGGATACATTCATAGAAAGGTAAAAGGTGCTGAAACTTTTACCTATTTTTGAATGTATAGTACGTATAAAATTCTTTTGTACATGTATTTGTGAGTGAACCGCCCTGCAGCGGAAATACTAGTACAGAACTAGTGAGTTCACCAGTTTTCGGGATTCGAATACCGGTACCTTGCAAATCTACCAGCCATGCTTTCTACTGTCGCATTTAACATGGAGTTGTCCTAAGTGGTGACACCTGCGTAACCTTTCACTAGTACTTTTAGTAGTAACATGTAACCAGTAACCGAACCACTTTTTTTCGTTGTGCACTTCACAGATACTTTTTCATAATTAAAAAAAAAAAACTGAAATAAAGATTTTAAATTACATGTTCTGCATAGTGAGATGAGATTTGAACTTGAACATTTTCGGCCGCAACTAATTGCAGCCAGCCCTTTGCGCACTCAGCTACAGGCACAACATATAAGTGTGCTTTCAAATGTTCGCTTTGAATCAAGCCAGGCGAAGATTTGTTCAAATTTAAATTTGTTTTTGCTATGATCTTCGCTATTTATTTTCCTGTGATCGAACGCACAAAAGCTGCAGCGTGACGTTGTTTGAAATTTTATTATTAGGCTGAACTGATTCTTGATATTTTTAACAAAATCGTCATTTAAACGCGCTATATCTCAGTCGTTTGTGTATCGATCGATTTGAAATTGTCACACAATAAACTACAAACTATCCCAAAGAATTTAAGTTTAACACCACTTCTCAATACTCATTACAAATAAAATTACAGGTTTATAACTTTTTTATGAGAATTAAGAGGGTGTTTGTTTTCAAATGCGAAAGTTGTGTTATTAAGTTTGAAATAAATTTTTTGTTTTAAAACAGTTTTAAAACTATGTAGCGAAGTTTTTGCGAAAGTTTCAGAATTAAACATCAAGTAGTTGCAAAGTTATAACAATATTATTATGACTCACACGGTTAGAAGATTAGCACGCTGCACTCCAAAAGGCTTTATAACTCGGAAAAGTAAAAAAAAAAAGTCCTTTTTTATTCGTGATTTATATGTAAAAAGACTTGATCTTTCGATTGAGATAACTAAAAACAATATTAAAAATTACCATAATCTATAGAAATCATAGTTTTCGAATTATTTTTCCTATTTTATGTCTGCTTCGCAGCTAGTCGAGAAGTACAGTATATTTTGCTTTGCTGCCTTTATTCTTAAGTGCACATTTGAGATACCTTCCCCAAAATGCGCATCAGTGGCATTATTTTATTTATTTATATGGAAACTGCTCCGATAGATGCATTCAACATACCTGCACATTAGAGATACCTGCCTTAAAAATTGTGCAGCTATTATCAATTGTCAAAGAAAGTATTACGTTTACCTGCACTGGCCATACACTTACCCTAATTTGACAAGCTTTTATTTATTTTTCTCATCTCGAAGAACAACGAAAACGGCTATAATTTTATGTAGGTCAATTTATTAATTAATTAATTTTTTTTTAATTTTTTATTTAGGCGGGTCAATTTTTTTTTCAACATCGTTCCTAGCAGATTCGGATTCTACATAAAATTCTAAGAAAAAAAGCCCTTTAGACCATAGCTCTAAAATCAATTTCGAGCCTGCGCAATTTTAAAAGAAAATATATTTAATTAATACTAAGTCCATAATCAGATTAATATTTACTAAAGTGTTAGGAATTTTTTTTTTTTTGTAATAAAGAATTGTGCTCGGGAGTTTTGTGATATGAAAAATTCATTTCTGATATCTATTTTTTATTTAAAGAACCGCAAGATGGCGCTTCAAAGCAAATCTACTATATATTTGTGGAAGTATGTATGTATGTATGTACCAGGTTGCAGCCTGAACGAATGTACAGAATCGAATAAAATTTTGCCAAAGTATTGCCATGACTCCTGGACCTATAATAGGGTAAAAAAATTGAAACTCGCCAAGGGGGGGGAGGGGATGAGGGATACCTCCCATAGTGAAAATTTTTAATCAGCTCTAACTTCGGAATTATAGTCACATGAACTCGAAATTTGAAATGCACAGATACCTACGGTAGGTGCTTATGGAAAGTGATATGTATATAAATGAGTTTGAAAAAAAGGGCGTGGCACATCTTATAGGTGTGGAATCTTTTATCAGCTATAACAGCAGGCAGTATTANTTTGTAAAAAGGGGCGTGACACATCTCATAGGTGTGGAGTCATTTATCAGCTATAACAGCAGGCAGTATTAATGATATCATTGTATTGCTTTTTGAAGATTTGTTATAATTGATCAAAGCGAAATTCAAATAAATTATAGATGATATGAAGTTCACCGGGTCATTTTCTAGTCTTTAATATATACTTATTAATATTTACTAAAGTGTTATGAACGTTATTTTTTTTAATACAATAAGAAAAAAATAACTATAATTTAAAGGAGTGACAAACAATGGCTAGAGTCGTCGCATGTGTGTATTCTTTCATATACATATATATGGGCTGTTCTTACCGTTATATATTTTTCATCCACTCGCTTATTCCTTACCTTTTTAAATAAAAATTCAACAAGTTTTAACCACTGGGTAAACTTAATAAACGAAATATATTCTCTGGTTAAATTAATAAGCCTGCCCAGATAACACAAAATCCTAAGCTTGATACACATTTGGTGTTATAAAAGTTTCATAAAGCTCTACTTGTAATTAGGAAAAATGCCGGAAAAAAAAAATTATAAAATTGATTGATTGATTGATAAAAATAGAGAGGGAATTATGGTTTTGACAATAGAAAATAGAAAAAAGATACCTCGTGTTGAAAGCAAAAAGGATCTAAAACCAAAAAAAAATATAAATACACTGTTAATCATAAAAAAATTTATGATTCGAAAAATTATTTTGAAATATTGTAAAACTTTATTTATTATTTTTTTGGTTTTTTAAAGCTAAAGTTTTATTTACTTACAGTAACGAGCAAAAGTATTGGCACAGTGAATTTTACGCAATATAGGCAAAGTATTTAGAAAAATTCCAGGTATGCAGTTTAATAATCCATTCAATTTTTGTTTATCAAAGTGCAAGTTTAAAGTTGCTTGAAAATCTGAATATAAAATTGCAAATTAGTATGCAGATTTATTGAATTTTCCTGAGTTTTTCACAAGGTTTACACATTTGATTCTTATGTAGTTTGGTGTAGTAAGAACTATGTTTTTATAAAAAAATATCAGAAATAAATTAAAAACTTTGCATACATGTAAGCGAAAATTTA